TGCTCTCTATTAAGAGCAGCAGTCCCTTCTCCTCTCCCTTCAAGAGCCCTTCTTTATAAAGCCCTCCAGCTGGGCCCTCATCAGCCACTGGGGCTTCTCTCAGCCCTTGCTCAGGGCTAGGTTTTTGCCTTTAAAGGACCAGTGCAGGGCAAGCACCCTGTCTCAGGGCCGCATAAAACCATACAGAAAAGAGACAGAATCACCAGGCAGATGAAGGGGGCTGACTTGGGGCATGCCCCCTCTCCATCGGGGACTGCCCCAGGCCTACCACCCCCTAGGTATCCTTTAGGGAGGGGGGCCTGCAGCTCTTCCCGCCCCCGATTCATAAAGGAACATTGCTGGCTGTTCCCCTTCGTCACAGAGAGAGGGGAAAATGCACAGTTTACTCCATTCCTCATTCTTGCTGGGGAGTGCAGGGGGCAGACGAACCTGGACCTGCCCCAGCCAGGAACATGCATCTCTGCCCCAGCCATGCCAGCTGGAACTGCAGCAGCTATAGACAGGCACTTCTCAGCTGGCTCCAAGCTGCTGCAGCGAGAGAGGGCTGAGGTCATCCTTTCTGCCCTGTGCAGCCTGCCTACTGAACCCTCATCCCGGCCCCACCTCAGAGCTAGGAGTTAATGAAGAAAAACAAAAATGAATCGAGTTAAGGACCCGAGCAACGCTGGGTAAATCTTCTAGTTCCTTTATAAAAGCTGAACTGCTTTATGGAGGCACTAGTGATGCAGCTACACTTAAAGCTGCACTGAAATTTCTATTTAAAGCAGGACTAAAATCACTCTGTTTTGCTCTCTAATGATGGCTGCTCAGAAGCCACCGTCAAGCCAATGTGTCTGGATGGCTGCTATATATCCTGCATCATTTATTTTCGATGGCTGCTACAAAAAGTGCAGCCAGAAAACCAATATTATCTATGTCAGTTGGCACATAAAGTGTTTCTTTAATTGTAGGCTGGTATTTTATTTGGCAATAATAAAATACAAGAAGCAAACCCTGAAGATATTTTCCCCCCCACTTAAAATTTCAATTCAGTCATTTTATGGTACATTTTAACTAGAGCACAACACATTAAACTTTTTTTTAAAGTGAATTGTTTAGTTGCCTCTGATCTTTGGATACATTTTCAGGCCGGTAACTATCAAAACAGAAAAGCCTCAGATTATTTAAACATCAAAATGTTATTTTTAACCCCAAAAAAATCATTTTTCTTCAGTTCCTCTTGGAGAGAAGACCGTTTCTAGTTCCCCCAGACTCTAAACAAAATAGCTGATCCAAGATGTAATAATAATAGTAATAAAATATATAGCAGCTTTACATCTTCAAAGCACTGTGCAAACAGTAAGGTTGGGATGGCACACTTTATCCGCTTGTGATTTTACTTTCTCAAGGACATTTTTATTTGTCTAGGAGGTTAGGAGTGGAGCTAGTTTAGTCCTGTTAATGCTCCTCCCACAGGAAGGGCTGTAATTTATATACTATTAAGCACAAGAGAGACAACCGTAGGACAATCCAGTACAGGTTGGACCTCCCTGATTTGGCACCCAGAGAAGGGATTTTTCCGAACCAGGGGAGGTCATTTCTTGCCCCTCTGCTGCTGGTTCCCCCTCTGCTCTGCTTCCCCCACTAGGCTTCCTGGATGCCACCACAGCTCAGCTGAACCACATGCCAGCCCCTGGACCTCCCCTCCCCAAAACTTTCCCCCACAGCCCAGCTGAGCTGCATGCTGGACTTCCTGGCTCCCATCCCCACCCCCTGCAGCCCAGCTGGGCTGTGTGCCCCCTGCCACCGCATAGTGCCAGGCTCCCACCTGCAGCATGCTGTGACTCTCTCAGCCTTCTGGATCACAGATGTTGCCGGACCAGAGAGTCCTGCTTTATAGAGATGCAACCTGTACTTGATATTTGTAGATTTTAATCACTCTTCTCTTTAAATTGTAAGATCATTGGGGCAGAGATTATGTGTCCAGTCCTATGCCTCCTAAGGCCAAAGGGACTCTCTGCATGCCACTGACATCAGTGAGAGCTGGATTGGATCTTATGTTTCTCAGACTCATAGAACACTAGAACTGGAAGGGACCTTGAGAGGCCATTGAGTCCAGCCCTCTATCCTCACAGCAGGACCAAACACCGTCTAGACCACCCAGCTAGATGTCTGTCTAATCTGCTCCGGAGATGGAGATTCCACAACCTCCCTAGGCAATTTATTCCGGTGTTTAACCACCCTGACAGTTAGGAAGTTTTTCCTAATGTCCAACCTAAACCTCCCTTGCTGCAGTGTAAGCCCATTGCTTCTTCTCCTATCTTCAGAGGCCAAGAAGAACAATGTTTCTCCCTCCTCCTTGTGACACCCTTTTATGTGCTCTGCGGGAACACTGACAATGTTCATTTATTGGTTTGTTCATAACAGTGTAAGAACGGCCATACTGAGTCAAACCAAATGTCCACCTGACCAGTATCCTGTCTGCCGACTGTAGCCAATGCCAGGTGTCCCACAGGGAATGAGCAGAACAAATAATCCACAAGTGATCCACCCCTTGTCTGTCGCCCGTTCCCAGCTTCTGGCAAACGGAGGCTAGGCACACCATCTCTACCCATCCTGGCTAATGGTCAGACCAGGGCAAATCTCCTATTGACTTCACCAGGGTCAGGCTCTACAGGGGCCAGTGTAGAAGGAGGAAGACCACAGTTCGGATGGTGTGATGACCTGGTGGGAGGTGAACGGCAGAGGGTGACACAACAGATGTAATGGGGGGGGGGATTAAGAAAAAGAAAATATGAGTCTGATTTTCATGAAAACTCCTGACAGTGAGATCTCTTAGTCTGCAAAATAGGCTCCCGAGGGAAGTGAGGGAAGTGCTATAATTTGAGACATTTATTACAATGACTTGATAAAGCACTCAATAATACCCTGTGGGGAACAACCAGCCCTGCTCTCGCATTAGCGGCCTAAGTGGGTCTTTTCTATAGGCACGGCATGAGTAGATCTTCACTGGTGCATCGGGGCTCACAGAACCAATCAGAAGGCAAGTCAGTAGTCACACAGCTAAAGATAGATAGGTTAGATAGAAATGGCAACTCAGAATAGAATGCGGGGGAAAAGATTTTGACGCTTCCAAATGGTTCTCCACAAATACACTTCTAGT